CCTCTTAACCCTAAGTATATATGTTGTTCACTTTAACAAGTATATTTCCTTAATATTCGTTATATAATTTGTACTAATACAAGAATTAGTTTCCTTTCATATATAAGGATGTAAAATTATCTGTTTTGGTTATAATAATGTACATATATAATAAATGCACCACTACTTGGAAGCCATAATTGGAACTGCGCATGCGCCTAGAGCTTTGAAGACGTCAGAGATAGTCAATAAGTTGTCCATATGCACCTGCACCTAGAGTTTTCAACACGTCGGCGGTATTCAATAAGTTGTCCTTATGACGCCGCATTGGGAATCAGTAATATATTTTCTATCATGTCCAATCGCATAAACATATAATATAAAGAAATAAAGCAATAGTAGGAGATGAACCAGTACAAAAAACAATATATAACTGGTACAAAATAATGCCATAACCTTGTCACAAAACCAGTCACACATGCTTTTCCATAAACCTTACCCTAACATATAATACATAAAGGCAACATTGCATATGATGCAACCATGTCCAAATCTGATACGTGATCACAAAAAAATGGACATGGCAGCAACATATGACTGAAGTAGATGGGCACTTTGCATCGTGTTATCGTAATTAAAGACATGAAAATATGAAGGTTGAAATCTTCTATAGTAGTAAGCATCAAAATAGGTTTGAAGCAGAGCTTAACGAAAATTCCAGTTCCTCTGATTTGCCTCTACTCAAACACGATAACCAAAATGGTCACTTCCCTTGCTGAGTATATTTGTTAACGTCGGAAACGGTAATAGATGACCAATCAAACCCGGGTACGACGAGTTTTGCATAGGACCGGAAGTAGTCGAATCCAGCTTGCATCACACGCTTCTTTGACTCCTTTGCATTAGATGAGTTCTTGTATTTTTGAACAGCTACACTCCGAAGTCGTTTGTGTCTACGCTTCATGCGCTGCAACTTCGCCCTATCCAGATTGGCCTGCCTTTTGTCATCTTCAATTTGGCCTTCAACAAATTCCAAACGTACCCTTGCCCTTTGGATTTCATCACCAAGTTGAAGATGCCTCTCCTTCCAGAAAGCAAGAACTCTTTCAGACTCAAAACTTCCAACAAAATGGTCATTCTGTCTAGGAAAGTGACATTGCTTGTCTGGTGACTCACTTGCGTTTCGAAGGCGGTCTTTGTTTGGAGGGGTGTTTATTACGCTCACATCAAACTTGGTTAGTAAATCCATTAAATGGGGGGAGAGAGTTTCTGTGGAGGAGAGAGTTTCAGTAGATGGAGACAGATTCGGTGGAGGAGTGAGTTTTTTGTGGAGGGAGAATTTTTATGAAGGGGGTGATAGTAATACCAATAAAAAAGGGTTCCCGCCAAAAAAAACATTTGGTTGACAATGTATAAATGAAAAAAGGTCTCATACAATCTAAGTTTAATCCTAACTAGTTTGTTTAGTTTGGTTGGGTTCACTAACTAGATGTCACTTCCATTGAGTTTCTTTCAACCACTAACAGTGGTGTAAGGAGAGTGTGAGGTTGACATGCTTGAAAAGCAAAACCTGACACCTCTTTTTTTAAAATTGAAATAAAGTAGATATGTTGACTACACGCAAGCTTTGGTATGTTGGTCTATAAAGCTATGTTCCATTTCTCAAACGAAATTGCATCTGCAATCCTCATCCTCCAAAACAAATAGGATTATTCAAGTATGTCAACCTCTTCAGGCGCCAACAACACAATCGAAGATGAAAAATTGGAGTCGCAGGTTCCGTTTCCACGTTGTACTCGCCGACCCCTTCCATTTTCAACATCATTTGGGAGTGAGGGGGACTCCGATGATCCATTAGAGGCAATAGATGCAGTCAGTACCAAGCTGGATTATAATTCCAGACTGATCAATTCATGGCACGAGAAATGTGTTGAAGACGAGGCCATTTTGGCTGATCTTAACATTAGAGTGAACAAAGCGTTCTCCCAAAAGAACAAGTACTTGAAGCTGAGTCATAAAAGGAAGCTGAAAGCTGAGGAGTTGGATGCAGTAATGAATGATGAAATTAAAGGTTGTTTGATGAACCATATGCGATGCGAAGAGCACCACAGTGAACTGGAGTTGGCATTCAACGAAGGATTCGAAAAATTCCGAGCATTCGCGGCAACAACTCATACAAGTTATAATTGGGACTATGTGTCCCCTGATGCTGTGAGAGAGATACTAGACGATGGTGGTGACATGAATGAGCATAAGCACGTCAAAGCTGCTCGGAAGAAGCCGACCGATACGGCTAAGTGATTGCGGCTACAGCTGTTCTGTTGGTTGGGGGTGATCGTGGTATTGCACAAATTAGAACTATGTTCCCTTAATGTCATTATCTAATATAAAATAATACAAATATCAGTTTCATTTGCTTCATATATAATTATTGGGACTATGTCTTGCAAGTCATCATGTGTTCCTTCTGTCTAACATTATATTTTGCAACTATGGAAATATTATTCAATAAGCAGTCAATATCACAGCACCCTGGTAATCAGTAAAGCCCCATTATCATGACACGTGAGTCATAAGTAAAATGCCATGTGCTATACATTGTGTAGTGAATGGTTTATGGTTTATGTATATATAATAAAATTCCAAATATTGCTGAATATTTATTTTGTCTAAATCACTGGGGACATGAGTGACCATAAGCACGCGAGACCTGCTAAGAAGAAGCTGACCAATACGACCTAGTGATTGTGGCTACCGTTGTTCAGTTTATTGGGGAGATCGTGCTATTGCTAAGAGGGAGCACATAAAATGCTTTGCAATCAAATTTTCTTTTGTGTGTGGAATTATGAGTAGTTCAAATGTTAGTGTACCCTTTAATATTACCCAACCATTCGAAATGTGATTAGCTGCAATGTACTTTTTTACACGTTGCTTTCTAATCTTTCTGTTCCAACAAAGTGCTTCAAGTATCCTTCAGCTACGAATGTTTGCAAAATCGTGCACCTAATAACCAGTCCAGCTCAGATCTTAATCACCAGTAAAACACTAGAACATAACATTCGCAAAAAGTGGGTGCTGCTACAAATGATGCGTGCTGCTGGAAATCATTACTGGTAATGGAAACAATAGCTGGCTGCTGGAAATGCTGCATTAGCCTGTCATATAATCAATAAATCTCTATTCAAACATAATTCACCATAAACTACCCATTTTACAAGGTAAAAGTCATTGCTTGTTCACATAAATCAAAATTTGATGCTTTATCTAATGTCCATGAAAATTTCTAAATAGGGAGAAGACGTAAAATTAACATGTGTCCAAATTTCATGCAAGAATGAAACCAAGCAAATTTTCATTTTCAATTATCAATGGACATAGTCAGAGCTCATCGGTGGACATGAACAAAAAATTAATAATAATAAAACTGCATCTACAAAACTTCACCTGATCATTAGTCTTCATAATAACCGGGCTTCGTATAATAGAAACCTAAATCATTGAGTTGGTCCGTGCATCCTGTAAAATTCGTCAAATAATGGGTCACTAAGATCTATTGGAGTTGATTCGTCATTGTTCGACGGTGATGTCCTGCATAAACATCAAACAGAAGCACATAAGAACTTTACCTATTCAAATTTTAGGTCTTATTATAAATAGTGTTAACATCTTACGGTGTGTTCAAATTTCTTGGGCATTGTCTTCTATCATGACCAATGTGTCCACACTCCCGACAGTGTCTAATCCCTCGCTTCATTGCCTTTTCCTTTGCTCCCGTTACTCGTTTCGACCTCCATTGCACCTTACTCTCTTAGGGTCTTTCATATATTGTGTTTGAGAGCTGGACCCTCCAACTTCGTTATTACTTGGTCCATCCTTCAACAACTTCAACTTCACCTGCAAACTTTTTAGAGTCTCTGACAGTACCTCACATCCTTCTTCACACATTAATGCATCCTCAACCACATCTGAAGCAAGTCGGGACATTGTACTCCGCTTTATTAAAAGACCAGGATCTGCAGAGTCTTTAATTTCGTTGCCATTTGCATCTGACACCAATCCAAATTTCGCAGTTTTCTTCCACCTCTTCAAAATGTATTTATCGGGCATATATTCAATCTGGTCCCTTCTGAACAATGCTAGGATGTGCTTGCAAATAATTCCAACAAATTCAAATCTTTTGCAGCTACACGATGCGTGGTCAGAATCTTTGACATATACGACTTCTGCCACTCTTGTTTCCCAATTTTTCCTTTCGCTCACATTAAAGACAACTTTAGAAGCATCCTCTGTTTTCAGCTCTAGGAAACATGCTGTACTTTGTATTAGTTCTTGCTCAAACTTTTGAAACATTGTCCTTGTGTACAAGGTAGCCATTTGTTTGTTCATTGGCATCGGTAGAATACATTGAGCCACTTCAAATGCATCTACGTGATCAGCAACTAACTCTTTTTGACGTTGATGAGAAAGTGCCCTCTCAAATCTTATTATGAAATCCATCAACGAATTTTTCCTTGATATGTATTGCTTGAAGAAACCATGAGAACATTCAGCTCTTTGGCTGCTTGACATTCCAGCGGCAAAAAAGTGTCGTGCGTAGGCTGGAACCCAAGATTCCCTTAAATCAAACATTGAACTTAGCCATGGATGGTCAGTCAAACCAGCCTTTGTAACCACAATATTCCATTTTGCATCAAACTCATCCTTATTGTCAGTATCCCATATGGCTTTCTGGAATTCACCCCAATACTCCTTATAAGCAGAATGTGGTAACTTAACAGAGAACTTTGATGTGATGTGCCATATGCAAAGTCGATGAAATGTAGTCGGGAAGGCTATTGAAATCGCTCTGCTCATTGCCGCATCTTGATCTGTGATGATCGTTTTAGGTTCGCCACCTGGCATGGCTTTCTTAAACTCCTCAAACATCCAAATAAACGACTCAGTCGTTTCCTTGCTCAAAAATGCGCATGCTAGGACAATTGTTTGACCATGGTTATTAACTCCCAACATTGGTGCAAATGTCAAGTCGTATCTATTCGTGTTGAATGTGGTATCGAATACAACAACATCTCCATAAAACCCGTACGCCCGTCTAGAAGTTGCATCTGCCCAAAAACATCGACTAAACCTGTTATCGCCATCTCCCTCAATCTTGAAATAAAAAGCCTCATTTTTTTCTGTTCAGCCATAAAATACTCGGTCACTAGTTCAACATCGTGGTTCCTCAGCTTCTCATTCACACTACATTCAAGATTGTACATATCCTTTTTGATAAAACCAATTTTATCCATTCCTCCGGATTGCACCTCGAAAATACTTACCTTCTGATTAATGGGAATATTAACCGAACCCAACTGTTTTGTAAGTACTTTTGTAGAATCTGAAATACGACGGTGTGATCTCAGTAAATGCATTCTTCCTGAGGGTGTCATCTTATGATTGTGTCCCTCTGCAAAAAGAGAGATGGTATACTTCTTGCTCCCATGTGTCTTCACAACCACAATCTTAGCTTTGCAATTGCATCTACTTATTCCCCGCTGTCTTTTTCTCTCCCGAGTTTCATCATTCCGGTATGCACCTTGTTTGCAACATACAAATTCTTTTCTCAGAATCTCTTTCTTATTTTTCCCCCAAAAGCTGGAATGAAGTCGAATACCAAAGCCAGCCAAGAATGCATATCTATTATAGAAATTATAAACGAGGTCAAGCGAGTCGAACTTCATCCCAACTGCTGGTGTTTCCTCATTTCTTACTTCAGGAATGTAAACCCTCCCATTAGCTATTACAGAGTCATCACTCTCTGAGCCCCCAGACATTTTATCCACGTATATTATTGATCTACTTCTATATTACTGCATAGCAAATGTTAATTCATTAATCAATCATTACTGCATCACAACTTATCAATGCATTCCACTTACACAAAACATTGCCCAAATTGACACAATACACGCATAGCTTAGCTTGTTGGATTCTGATTACAGAAAACACAAGCAAAATTTAATAATAGTTACGTCATCTCTTGTGAAATAATCTGGAAAAAATTACCTTAGAACCAACATGTTCAACTAAGAACTCAAATGTAATTCAAACCAGCAATTACAGAACTTCACCCAATATCCTCTCCAAATGCTTACTTCTAATGCCATTAAGCCTAAGTTTAGGATCTTTTACCTACATTTCATAATTTTCCAATCCCCCTCCAAACAAAAATAATCAACTAAGTATATTGAATATTCATAAGGAAATGACGCATTATTGATAGCAGAGCAAATGACGCATTATTGATGCCGCAAATGACAAATTTCTCACCCTCATAAAAAACAAATCAAACCCAGCAAAATCAATCCAGCAAGAGTGAACTTACCTCTCAAAGTCAAATGACGCATTATTGATAGCAGAGCAAATGACGCATTATTGATGCCACAAATGACAAATTTCTCACCCTCACAAAAAACAAATCAAACCCAACAAAATCAATCCAGCAACAGTGAACTTACCTCTCAAAGTCAATCGGGAGTTCCGAACTCAGTCAGCTTCAAAGAATGTGGTGGACATTAGAGAGGATTCTTTCGTAGTGGAGACTCCATCTCTACCAAAATCCAGGAACAACTGCAGCAGCACGAAAAAGAGATATGCTACTTTGCTTTCATCTGGAATCTCTTCTGCTGAACGAAAAAGAGAAGGGGTTTTCACTTCAATAATAGAATCAAAACAGGGCAATAGCTAGGTAAAAGCCATTAATCATCATACCGAGGATACCATAGATCGCAGGCCTCCCAAGGAGCTGATGACAATGGAGCGATTATAGAGTTTGGGAGCTTTGGATCGTTCTAATTGTGGATTTGCATTACATTAAAAAAGAGAGGATTGTGTTCTTGAGTTTTTCACAGAGAGGGAAAAATCTTCAGCTGAAGTTGGGTTTCCAAACGGGTCAGATTTCAACCCGGTTCTACATGCACCCTCTTTTAAAAACTCACCGTTGGATGAAATCCAACGGCTCTTACATACCCCTCAAAAAAACCCCTTATAACTTTCCACTCACTATAGAAGCACTTTTTTTTTTTTTTTTTTTTTTTTTTTTTTTTTTTTTTTTTTTTTTTTTTTTTTTTTTTTTTTTTTTTTTTTTTTTTTTTTTTTTTTTTTTTTTTTTTTTTTTTTTTTTTTTTTTTTTTTTTTTTTTTTTTTTTTTTTTTTTTTTTTTTTTTTTTTTTTTTTTTTTTTTTTTTTTTTTTTTTTTTTTTTTTTTTTTTTTTTTTTTTTTTTTTTTTTTTTTTTTTTTTTTTTTTTTTTTTTTTTTTTTTTTTTTTTTTTTTTTTTTTTTTTTTTTTTTTTTTTTTTTTTTTTTTTTTTTTTTTTTTTTTTTTTTTTTTTTTTTTTTTTTTTTTTTTTTTTTTTTTTTTTTTTTTTTTTTTTTTTTTTTTTTTTTTTTTTTTTTTTTTTTTTAAAAGGTTTCGATTGTGGATATTTCGTTGTCATCTCGGTACGTTCTTCGGGTGGTACATAGGTATTTATACCTATGGCCACCTCAAGAACTGTAGCGAGATGCTGGCGAAATTCATCCACGTCGAAATCTAATCTCATGTAGTCGTAGGTTACGTGGCAGGAGTATGCATTCCCGAATGGGATAGGACCCTTACCGGAGGCATAAGGTGACATTATAACTTCGTATGAAGTTGTTGTGATTGTTGTGTTGTGATTCTGGTTTCAGGAATTATGGACAGAAGGTGGATACAAAACCCTAACAGATGCGCAGACGAATACTTGGATGGAATCGAGGATTTTATTGAGTTTGCACGTAGACACAACCCGGGTGCAACTAGAATCCGTTGTCCTTGTAGGAGGTGCAACAACACGTTATGGGAGACAATTGAAAATGTTGGATTTCATTTAGTAAGAAATGGAATGATTGAGACATATAGCATTTGGAACCTTCACGGGGAACAATTAGAGCATGCTTCGTCTTCAAATGCCACAAGAGTGGACAATGTTCAACCTATTGTGGATGCTAATGATGAAGTCATGGATATTATACAGGATGTTTTTCCATTTGCATCGACCAACATGAATCAAGAAGAGCAAGATGATGTGCCTACACCAATAGACAGTGCGGAGTTTGAACAATATGAGAAATTGTTAAAAAATGCCAACCAAGAGTTATACCCGGGGTGCGAGAGCTTTTCCGTTCTCACGGCCATTGTGGAGCTAATGCACGGAAAAATAAAGTATCGTATGTCGAACCTGTGTTTCGATTACTTTTTGGGGGTTTTCAAGAGAATGCTTCCGACGGACAATTGTTTGCCGAAAGACCATAAACAGGCGCAGAAGGTGTTGAATGGTCTTGGATTGGGTTATGAAAAAATCCATGCTTGCAAAAACAATTGCATGTTATTCTACAAAGAGCATGAATCGTTGGATACATGTCCTATATGCAATGAGTCGAGGTTCAAGATGACATCTCAGAATAGGACGACTAAGATCCCACAAAAAGTCATGCGTTATTTGCCCCTGAAACCTAGGTTGCAGCGATTGTATATGTCGACGCATACTGCCACAGACATGAGATGGCATCAGGAAAAAACGGGTAGACGATGATGTGATGCGGCATCCTGCAGATGGGGAGGCATGGAAAGAGTTCGATCGAACGTTCCCAGAGTTTGCTGCTGATCCCCGAAATGTTAGATTGGGACTTGCCACTGACGGATTCAATCCGTATGGGGTTCTAAACCAACACCACAGCACTTGGCCGATTTTCGTATTCCCATATAATTTGCCGCCTTGGAAATGCATGAAAAAAAAATACATGATGATGACTGTTTTGATAACTGAGGATCCTGGGAGGTCAATCGATGTTTACTTAAGGCCGCTGGTTGATGAGCTAAAGGATTTGTGGACAAACGGTGTTCGCACGTACGATAAATCAACTGGGAAGATGTTCACTTTGCGGGCAGCAGTTATGTGGACTGTGAATGATTTCCCAGCATATGCAATGGTTTCTGGGTGGAGCACAAAAGGTTATATGGCATGTCCTGTATGCAAGGAAGATGTAACTTCTGGTTGGCATGCTGGAAAAGTTTGTTACCTTGGTCATCGGAGATGGTTGCCATGGGACCATGAGTGGAGGGAAAAAGATAAAGAGTTCGACGGGAACACTGAGCGTCGCCTTAGACCCAGAGAATGGTCCGGTGATGAGATATTGGACCAGCTGAACCGGTTGGATTTTGCTCCCTTCGGGAAAACAGTTAGTCGTATCAGACCTTCTACACATATGAACTGGACGCACAAACCTATGTTTTTTGAGCTCCCATATTGGTCGAAACTAAAATTGAGGCACAATCTAGATGTGATGCATGTTGAGAAAAATGTATTCGACACATTGGTGGGCACGATTCTAGATATCGAGGGGAAGACAAAGGACACGATCAAAGCTCGTCTTGATTTGGAAAGAATGGGCATACGAAGGGGTTTATGGATGAATAGGGACAATGATAAAGCTAGAAGGGATCTTGCATTCTTTTCTATGAAACCGAATGACAAGAAAGAGTTTCTAAAGTTTGTATCGTCAGTAAAGTTTCCGATGGGTATGCTTCTAATATCGCACGTTGTGTGAATGTTGACGGGGGTAAATTTACTGGACTTAAAAGCCATGACTGTCATGTGTTTATGCAACGCCTACTTCCTGTTGGTATTCGACACCTATTGCCGGAAGATGTAGTGAAGCCAATCATTTTGTTGTCCAGATTTTTTTCCCAACTGACGGCGAAAACTTTGCGAAAAACGGACATGTTTCAGTTGCGCCATGACATTGTCCAAGTCCTATGCAAGTTTGAGATGATATTTCCTCCAGCTTTCTTCACAAGTATGATGCACGTGATGGTTCACTTGCCAGAAGAGGCATTACTTGCTGGTCCTGTCAACTATCGCTGGATGTATCCAATAGAAAGGTATATAATCCTTATCATTTGTGTATGCATCATTATCACATGCTTTCTAATTTCAATCATATCGTTTTATTTTGGCAGGCTTCTCGGAGAGCTGAAAAAAAGTGTACGCAACAGGGCGAAGCCCGAAGGATCAATCGTAGAGGCTTGGGTTCAATATGAGTCGCTTACTTTCTGCGGAATGTATTTAAAAGATGTGGAGACGGTTTTCAATCGTCCTCAGCGCAATCATGATGGAGGTATGAGAAATGAAAAACTTTCTGTTTTTGCCCAAAGCGCACGACCCTTCGGAGATCCTGGACGCGGAGAGTCGTTTTCTAGAAATGACATGGAGGTAGCGCATTGGTTCGTACTGAACAATTGTGATGAGATCATGGGATACTTATATGAGCATGAAGAGATGATGAAGCGAGAACATCCATCACATTTGGTTGCCCAGAAACACCGTAAATTGTTTCCACAATGGTTTTTGGATTCTGTAAGTTATCAGTGTTTGTTATTTGAGAAATATAAATTTTTTTAATAAATTTTGTCCGACTAACATATGAATGGTTTTGTATAATATTAGGTGAATAAGTTGAAATCATCGAATTCCCCAACTTACAGTGATGAGTTATATAACTTGGCGTTTGGCCCGATTCGCGCTGAATTGTTCTCGGGTTGTAATGTCAACGGTGTCAAATTTTTGGCCGAAGCACGAGATGACAAGTTGTGTACGCAAAACAGCGGTGTCCATGTCCCAGGTGGAGGCGAAAGTACGGACATTGATTTCTATGGCAAACTCACAACTGTCGTGCAATTGCTTTACAAAGATCGATACCAAGTGATCATGTTTAAGTGTCGATGGTTTGACACCAACCCAAATAGGCCGGGAAGTGTTAAAATCGATCATGGCTTACTATCTGTGAACATGAACAGAACTTGGTATGATGACGACCCTTATATTTTGGCAAACATGGCAACACAAATTGTGTATCTAGATGACCCTAAAGCCGGAAGCGGTTGGAACGTTGTTCAAAAGATGGATCACAGGAACGTGTATGCTATACCAGAACTAGACCCAACTGACAACAACGTCAACAATGTAGCTGACCAACGTTTAGAATCTTCAATGGAAAATGATGCGGAAACACTTCGAGATACTAATGTTATACAAGAGCCATTTCAAATACAAGGAGTGTCTTCAATCGAAATACCGATTCAGTCAATTACAATTGACCTCGGTGATCTTCCGCGATATGATGTTGCAGTTGGCCCGAGCAACGACGATGATGTAGTTATAGAGGAGGCGGAGGAGGAGGAGGAGGAAGAGGATTGGGAGACCGAAAGTGATGATAGCAACGATAACGAAAGTTATTATAGTTCAGATGATGAATGATTAATTTTTATTGTAATTTTATTATGTTATTAGACATATTTTGTGTAATGCAAATGTTTTCATATATGTACTTGTTATATCCAAACAATATATATGATACCAAGTGAAACATTATTATTACAATAATTGTAGTTATAAACCATTGGTAAATAAATATAGCCAACTAATTTGTATCATAAAGTTTAAATTTATTTTCACAAAAAATTTTAAAAAAAATGAAAACCATATAACCGAAAAAATGAATACAAAGAACATAAGATTAACAACAATCCTTCCATTCTCAAATCGAAAGAAAATATAATAAATCTTACTTTCATACAAGTAATTATATGTAATGATGAATACTTCAGATTAATAATATGTGGTTTGCGCGACGAAGACATAATTGTCGCGCAATTTTTGCGCGACGGATAATGTACACGTCGCGCATACTCTACCATTTGCGCGACAAATAATTTCGTCGCGCAAGTCTCTTTAGCGCGACGAAAAAGAAACCCCGTCGCGCAAACATATACATATATATATTTCTGATTTATACACACGTATATAGTTGAAATTGACGATCGAAGTAGTTCACTGTATTCACATAGGGTTAAACAGTATAGCTTTAAAAAATCATCAAAATCAGAGTCAAAATAACCGTTGAATCATGACTTTTCGTTTATAACCGTCGAAACGTTTTGTCCCGTTACTTGAGCTCTGAATGTTTTTTTTTCTCATTTTTGACGTATAAGATCTCGAAGTATAAACAAACATATTTGACGGCTAGATTACTGAAACTAGTTTCCTAGAATGCGTATTCCATAAAAACACAATATTCATAAAAACTGAATAATTTCTTTATACATTCCTTCAGTCTAATATAAGATTATGTGATGTCTTGTACTGTAAATATCTGAAATTGAAGATCGAATTAAATCTCTGTATTCATATAGGGTCAAGAACCGCAGCTGCAAAAAATTTTCAAGATCGGAGCTAAAATCACCGTTGAATCGGGACAATTTGTTTACAACCGTCGAAACGTTTTGTCCCGTTACTCAATCTCTGAATGTTCATTCATTATGATTTTTGACGTATACGATTTTGAACTATGAAAAAAGAAGATTGTCGGTTGGATCATTGAAACTAGTTCAGGAGTTCGGGTTTAGGGCTTAGGGTACCGGTTTTAGGGTTTGGGGTATGGTTTTGCGCGACGAATAGAAGCTTACGCGTCGCGCAAACCTTATGCGACAAACAGAATCCATTCGTCGCGCAAAATCAATAAAAAAATTTCCCTCTCCTCTCCGCTCCAGCACTTAGTGAAATTTTTTTATCCAATGCCAGTTTGCGCGACGAATACATTTCATTCGTCGCGCAAAATCAATAAAAAAATTTCCCTCTCCTCTCCGCTCCAGCACTTAGTGAAATTTTTTTATCAAAAGCCAGTTTGCGCGACGAATATCAGTCCGTTCGTCGCGCAAAATCAATAAAAAAATTTCCCTCTCCTCTCCGCTCCAGCACTTAGTGAAATTTTTTTATCAAAAGCCAGTTTGCGCGACGAATATTAGTCCATTCGTCGCGCAAAATCAATAAAAAAATTTCCCTCTCCTCTCCGCTCCAGCACTTAGTGAAATTTTTTATCAAAAGCCAGTTTGCGCGACGAATCACAGAGAGTGCGTCGCGCAACCTTTATTTGGAACAGCTAGCATGCGCGACGAAATTGGGATTCGTCGCGCAATCGCATTGCATTGATTTTTTCCCGCGCAAAATCAAATCCCAAAATTTTGGGCGGCTGCACAAGTATGCGCGACGACAGTAGTTTTTTCGTCGCGCAAGGTATATCTGTTCACACGTTTGCGCGACGAAATTTGTTGTTCTAGTCGCGCAAAGGTCCAATTTTATAACATTGCGCGACGAAAAGTTAATGTTTTCGTCGCGCAAGGGTTATTTTAATGACGTTTGCGCGACGGAAATATATGTTCGTCGCGCAAAGTCGAATAAGTTTTCTGAAAATCGCGATCTTCTCCTTCTTCCCCAAATTCTGAAACCTAACCCTAAAACCTCCCAAATCTCTCCGCCGTGACCTCAGCCCCTAATCCGCCCCAAATCAGACCCTGCCGCCGCCACCGTCGAACCCAGGAGCTTCTCCGCCGTGGCCGTCCATCCTGCCGCCGTGAATTGCTCGGTTTAGCCCGAATCTCCGCCGCCGTTGTTCTCTCTCCTCCGGGCACCAAATCCGGCAATTGAGGTATGCTTTTGGCCTATTTTTCATGCTCTAGCTGATGGTTGTGTAGGATTTGATTGATTGTGTGCATAGGGTAGTCAATTTGAAACCCTAGGTTTCGGCCGGTTTTGAAATTCAAATTCCGGCCACTTCCGTCCGTTTTTCGGGGTAGGTCCGAGAACAAAAGTGGCTCCAATTGATGTTTTAAACCTAGGGTAGGAACCTTGCCCCTTAATTTGTAGGATTTCCCGGGGATCGTTATCTCTTAGGGCACCCACGCGCTGCCGGCGCGTGTGGTGGCGCGTGGGGTACTGTGGCATAGGGCTTTTTGTCCCAGTGCAAACCCAGAGATCGACGTCTTTGGTGACGTTTATGTTCGACCTGGGGATGAGTTGGCCGAGTCCCCTCATGTAAGTATTATGTATTTTTAATTCTTATGTTACACTTTCAATTTATATGCATTTTTGAATTTATATTTTATGTAATGTTAAACAGACGACGATGGTGGAGAGGAGCCAGTTGGTTCTTCAAGAGTCCGCCTCCCAACTTCCTCCCGAGACTCCGATCGAGTCTGTGGATCCTCCGCATGATGCTGGATTTCAGATTTTGACGCAGACGTTGGATCAGACTCTCGGGAGGAGGCCGGGAACGTATTGTAGGGGGATGGGGAATGCCCGACAGAGGGAACCTCGACCGCGGTCATCGTCGCAGGCAAACAGTCAGGTGACTGTTTTGACATCGCGGGTTGCCGAGCTTGAGGGTCAGATGTCGGTGATTCTGCAGTCGCTCGCGCGGTCCGGGATTCCAATCCCGAATTTTGGTGCGTCGACCTCCGAGCCCGTCCAGCCCGAGCATCCCCAGCACACCACGGCCCCTGCAGACGCCCATACCTCCGAGCCGCATACCTCCGAGCCGCATGTGGCAGATGACCAATTAGATTTCGGAACATTATTTGATTAGTTTGTTATTTTTATAATTTATTTTACAATTTGTATACATTTATTTTATTTTATATAATAGATGTTTTCTTTACGATTAATTTTTTTTAATTGTAATTTCATTTTAATTTTTAAAAAAAACAACATTTATTTTTTTACAAAATTAAAAATCAAATAATAATAAATTTTTTTTAATAATATATTGCTTTTGCGCGACGAAACGTAAATCGTCGCGCAAAAACATTTAAATATATCTTAATATTGCGCGACGAGTAATTTCGTCGCGCAAGATGTGTATGCGCGACGAATAAGATGTCGTCGCGCAAGGTTCATGTAGTTCGCGCGACGGACAATTCTGTCGCGCAGTTTTTTTTGCGACGACATCTGGTTCGTCGCGCAAATATTTGTGCGATGGACAATGAGGTCGTCCCAAAATGTTTTTTGAAACGAAGATGTTATACGTAGCGCAAACTGCGCGACGAATGACATTTGTTCGTCGCGCAAATCCTTTCTTCACGACCTTTGCGCGACGGATTGTGCGCGACGAATATTCTGTCGCGCATAATGATGTGCGACTAAAATCGTTTTTGCGCGACGAAAACCCTTTCGTCGCGCAAAGACTAAAATGTAGTAGTGAAAGATTCCGAATTCAAACCCGTTTAAGATAAAATACTGTAATATGTAAACTTGTGGTATAAAAAGTAATCAAATATGGTAAAACGGCTATCCTTACAACATGCCATCGTATTGACATTTATTTTTAGACAGGTACATAAAGTCTTGCGGTTGCCTTTACTAGGGCTGCAAGTAATCTTTAATTATGGTTAAATTGCATACGAAAGCTCCCTTGATCTCAGGATACACTGAGTTCACATTCTTAATTGAAATCAATGGAATATTTCGGAGTTTTGTCGGGGAAAAAGAGTCCCCAGTGTTTCTCAATCTCCGGCCCTGTTTTGTTATCCTCATTAAACATGGCAAAGATATAAGTCTCTACAGGGCTTCCAGGTCTCTTTGGAGTCCCGCCCTTCACATGCTTAACCAAATTTGAGTTGTAAGTTCTCGCGTTCTCTTTTGTGGTCACTTCGCCATCGCCACCTGCCGAGGGCCAACCACTTTCCGATACGACAAGTTTCAAAGAACCGCCTCCGGCTTTCTCTAATGCTTCATAAACTGCATCCAAAATTGCATCAAACAGATTTTGATATCCAAGCTGACCATCCTGTACCACAACTGTCGATATTCAGGGTTGAAGAAGGCTTTTGACGGCGGGTAGGATTCGTTGAGAATCGCGGTGTAAACCGCGGTGGAGACTTTAATTTGGGTTGCAAGACCGGCGGCAGAAACTGCTTTTTGAATATTTTCCATTGCAGAAGCAACAAACGGAGCGAATGGACCTTTGGGATCTATTTCGTTCCCAACCACGATGTATTTGAAATTGACATTTCCGTAGGTTATGACATTACTTTGGATCCAAGAATCTGCACTGGCTTGGCTAGAAGAGATGTCTTTAAGGCCTTCGTTGGGTACATCGAGCATGAGCTCAATGTTGGAGCCTTTAAGGGCTTGAAGAGCCTGTGGGTTAGGATCATAGAGCCTCATTTTTTGGATGCTATATTGGTTGTACATAGAGATTACTTCTTGTGCGGAAGGTAAGTTGTCTCCAAGTGTTCCATAACAAACACCAATCTTTGCTCCTGTATCAAGAATTATGAACTTAGTTATTTTCATAGCAAATCAAAAAAAAAAAAAAAAAAAAAAAAAAAAAAAAGAGAGAGAGAGAGAAAGAAGCCTTGCAATTTTTAGTCTAACACTGAGAAATAAGCATTGCAGCCTTTGATATTTGGAGAAGCTATGACAAATTATTTGGCAGTACTAGGGTTATTTTGGTAACAAAATATAGAATTGGTGGGCATGCATATTATTGCTTAAAAGGTATTGTTTATTCATATCATTATATGTACGTGTTTTATTTAGCAATTTTTTATAAAATACAAATGAAAAGTTTGGCCACTATATAATATTTTTATATAATTTATTTATATAATTTTAATATATATTATTTTTATTCAATATATTGTGAAAAATATGTGTATAATACGTGAATTTTTATGTATTATTGAAAATTTTATAAAAACACGTGTATTAAACGTGAAAAATTTGTACCTACATATATTGTACATTTGATTTTAAAAAAATGTGTATTTTACCAGGTCTTTACACGTATAGAAAACAAAAGTATTTAAAAAAAATATGCATATACATATATAATACGAATATTAAACAGAAAAATAGGACTAGGCGTAGTAATAATTCCCATCTCTCATGCATATATGGCATGTGTGGAATTATAACCTGTCTAAATTTTTACTTTGTGGAGAGAGAGAGAGAGAGAGAGAGAGAGAGCAGTTGGGGTAAGGCTTGCCATTAGCAGCCCAAAAAGTAGCATTATGGAAACAATGGAAAGGGTTTTGCCAGCTAAATGTGTCTTGGCCATTGCGCGAATCAGATCGAAAATCAAGTAGATATGAAGGAAAGACACAGCCTTTACAACTTGTGAGGTGCCCTCTTTATAGATCGAGTCAAAGACTCACAAAGGCACTCCGTGCAATATCTGATAATTTTTTTCTAAGTCAATGAGTAGCTACATGCATTTCCTCTCCACTGGCTAGTGAAAATTTTCCAAGGTAAATATAAAATTCCACAGAAATACAACTAGGAGAAATTGTTGCAATATTAGTAATCTTCCACAAAGACAAGTGGTGGAGATTTAAAGTGTTATGGTCTTCTGATCTTGTCTCCTTTGTAAACTCCAGAATGAAAAATGTTCGGGGTGGTCCCTGCAAATTAAATGAAAAATGTAACTTCATTTTTATATGCAAACAATTCTACGAAAATTAATTATTTATACGAGGGGATTTTCAATTAGCATGTCAGCAGCAAACTCAAAAATAATTGTCCGCGGGTCCCTCAGTAATTAACGGTAAGGTTAACGTCGGAATCAAATTGCAAAAAATTGAAAAGCTTAGGGTATATAATTGTTAAGAAAACCAGCAAAACAGTACATCAGCTTCTAAGCAAGAATCACTAATGGCGGAGGAGTCATAACATTAATGTGGCCTTGTTAAAAGTTAAAACCTTGCCTTAAAAAAACCTAACACAAACGGTTGCCCAACAAATCCAAGAAATTATAATTATAGAATCCCCAACATGCATATGCGTTTGCCTCTAGCCAGGCCTAGCCTTTCGATCAATGCATCTTTTCATGCATGATTTGCAGTTCTCAGCAATTAAGTCAAGCCGCCAGGTCCAAGTCCAGAAGTATCACTTATCATGACCACCACTTTGGCTATAATTGCTGTCATTTAGCAAATGGTTAAAACACTCGTCGGCTTTCTAGATGGATTCATTTGGGGTCGTATGTTCCGTATGAATACTTACAAAATTAATTGATTATTTATTGCAATGTACTATTCACAGCAGCAATATATAACACTGTATCATTGAAACATAGAAAACGATGTAATTCCGTTTTTTGACCTGAGACGTTTTCCCATCTGGTTTCTATGTGTATCCATCCGCGTGGGTAAAGAAAGTAGTAGTGAGAGTTAAGCTTGAGGTATATATTGTCCCTCAACTCATAGATTTGAAGGAACTAGGTATTTTACATTTTTTATTTATTTATTTTTAGTACAAGCATTTTGGGGAGAGGGATTTATACAAATATTCATTGAGTGCCTGCGAATTTCGACCCTCAGTTCAAATGAGTGGAAGTGGAAAAGCTCAATCAATTGAGCTATACCCTACTAGCAAAAAAGTAAGTTAACATGTCAGCAGACAAAATAATTGAGCGTAGCTGAGCAAGGCCAGCCCTATAGACAAAATAATTGTCCTCTCCTTCTAGCTAGCCATCGAACTGAATGTAATAATTGTCCTCTCCTTCTAGCTAGCCATCGAACTTTTAACATTCAGTGTGAGTACAATGTCGCGGAAAAGTACAAGGATAACCTATGGTAATAAGGAGATTCTTCTCAATTTTAAGGAGCCAAGCTTTTTCCATTAAGATATGGACGTCCATTTTCATGGGCATGGCTTGTTCAATGCATTAATTGCAATTTATTCTCAATAATTTTACGAAGATCAAATTTTTGAATCACATTTGAAGATTACACGATTTAAAATGTAGATTTATTTGAAGATGTTTTTATCCATTTTGATATGTTATTGTACTTATCATTTGCTACTGAACCTCATTGCATCATGGACACCATGCATTCACATAAAATCATTCGTAATTTTCTGTTATTGTAACATAAAGAAAGAGGGGCAATATATATTTCACACAAATTCTGTGTGCAATATATTTTCCAAAATTTCTTTGTGCATGATATTAATTCTATCTTTAATTAAATACCGGACTGTCAATATTCACATAGATATTGAAGTTGACAAAAGTATATCGTTAACATATCAATATGTTTATTATGGATGACAATAATATCGATACCTTATCAATTGGGGACAATTCTATCTTTATTGAAGATCAAATGCTTGATACATAGCCAGACTATAATAATCGACACGTTACCAATTACATGTTGAGAGTCTTATTACCTTCATTAAAGATCAAACGTTTATTATAGAGCCGGACTAATTATCGACACATTACATGTCTCGAGTCCTATTTTTATTAAAGATCTTGTCCTTTCTATAGTTAGATCATGGGCAGAAAGTAATGGCGTAGTTCGGTCCACCATTGCATGTAAATGTACCCTTTTTGTCATCATAAGCATAGCTGTAAGCGTTGGGGCATGCTTGACTGAATATCTTAGAGTAATTTGTCGGTGGGCATGTCTCTGGAGTGTTTTGAGGCGGAGTGCAACAGTACTGTGGCTGATTGAATTTAACACATGCACTCAAGCAGGCAACCACGCTCCCATCGGACCCTATCTTTTGCAGCTCACTCGGACAAACTGCGTTCACGTTCGCCGGGCAAGTAGCCGTCTTGCAGTCGCCGGTACCGCCTCGTGGAGTCACAGACATGGGCAAGTTGAAGCCATCAACAAGACTAACGTCGTAGAAATCTTGTCCTCCGCCTGCTGGAATATTGAATTCCGCTAAAGTTGCCGGCGGAATAGCACCGTTACCATTGCACGTGACCTGACCAGAGGCACAGTCTGCGGTGGCACAGACGAACTTTCCAGAGGCGTCCGTGGAGCATCCAGTTCCGGCCCAGAAGCGGCCGTTCCATGGCACCGGAGTGTCTAGGCTGAAGCTAGCTTGGGATGCTAACTCGAACCCTGTGGTTGATAGTTGAGGTTTTTGATCGGAGGTTAGGGTTCCTGGCCAGACCGTGTAGGGACAATTGTTTTTGAAAGACATTGTCGCTGCATGTGCACCTGCCATGCAAAGTAAACCACACTTAATTTGATGCAGTAATCACAAACCACACTTATTGTGACCAAATATTAAATTAAAATTAAAGAAAATAAGAAGCTTCGACTTTAAGAAAAGATCAATGAGTATTTCTGTCGTTTGGCCAAAATAAAAACTTAAAGCAAATAAGAAGCTTGTTTACCTCCGAAGGAAAGGATGGTTAAGCTGAGGCTGAGGAATACTACTAGGGTCTTCATCGTCGGAATATCTTAGTTTGCTCTGCTTCGAATTTGATGAGCTTGGGCTTTAGTTATGTAGGCTTGGTGCGGGCCTAACTTTTTGTCCTTTTGCAGGACTATGGCTGCTGCGATGACAAGTCACAAGACAACTAGTTAGTCTTATGAAATATTTTTTGGGGAATTTGAGTACGTAACTTATCACATGTCATGTAATCGTCAAATGTGATATATGTCATGTCATGTACTCTTAAAACTTAAAACTTCCAAATTTCCAATCAGTTAGAGCTTAAAAGAGTTGATAGACACCATGTTACTTTTAAAAATAATATATTAAAAGAATATATAATAAATATAATATGTCTCTTGGTGCGGGCCTAACTTTTTGTCCTTTCTCTCCAACCTTCTTTTTTGAACCTTCTCCCTTTTCTTCATTACATGTGTTCATTTCCTTACATATAAAACAATGTAATTAATGCATCAAACAAGCTATCATTAGTTTTCCAATTTTATCCTTATTAAATATATTAATTTTACTGTTTTCTTTAATTTATCCAATTTTTTTATAAACTTCTTACCTCCTTGTTAAAAATTAATTAAGAAAAAACGTTTTTTCAAAGACTCTAAAGGCAATGAGACATTCAAATAAGACTTAAAAATTAAATAAGAAAAAACGTTAGTTTTATTTTTTGTTGCCTGAAAGATTCCAAAGGGAGTAAGGAGAGACATATTGGTTTAAATCTAAAATTTGGTATGACAGAATTTTAGGAATTTTTTTTTTCAAATAACTAGACTCCAAACGCATCAAGGGATATAAATAAATATAAACAAAACTATGAACTTCCTATGGAATCTGATTATTTGGGGTTATATATATATATATATATATATATTTTTAGTTGTCACTGAAAATGCTCTTTAACTTTATTTATTAGTATAAAAAAATGCAATTAATGAACTTCCTTTTGAAGGAAGTCTTTTTTCTATATA